GAAGTTCAACGCGCGGTAGTAGATTTCGAGGTTAGCAACCTTGACGATGATGTCTTTGAAAGAATGGTGCTCCCAAGAGTCAGCGGCTCTCTCCATCATTGCTAGGGCGGCATTATCCCATTCGTCATAGTGGCAGTACAAGAACACCAGCTCCGGCCATAGGTTTGCCTCCTCAGAGGCTCGGATCATCTTGGGAATGTTGATTCTGGTCCAGAAGAGCTTCAAGTGCTCCATAACTTTGTCCGGATGATATTTAGAGAGAGCAATACCCAACTCCGTAAACATACCCATGTGGGCTCTCTCCAGACCAAGACCAGCTTCCAGAACAGCAATGAGCTCATCGAAATAGCCATTACGCTCATACTGGTGAACTAGATCCTGCAATTCTTCAGCGTGTACAATGAGATTGAGACCGCAAATTTGAGCAAGGCGGAATTCCTTCTTAGAAACGCACGCCTCGTTGACTTGCTTCCATACTTTGATGTTGTTGGCTTTCCGAGCACACTCAACAGCGGCCTGGTACTCTTCCAGGTGGACAAGAGTTGTGGCAAGTTTCGCCCAGTTGGAGATGCTTGTGTAGAAGATCTTTGCAGCTTCATGAAAGCCTTCCTCATAAGCCTTATCACCAGACGCCTCGACATCTGCGACGTTAATACCTCGCAAGAAGTCCTCAAGCTCACTCAGTTGATCTAGCCTAGCATAGCAGAAAGCCAAGGCAGTATCAACGGCGGGCTCCCGTAACGTTTTCCGAGCCATTTTAAGGAACTCGACAAGGTCCTCGTCCTTCCCAGCATGAGTGGCGGTTTCGATTACCTCATTGTAATTCGACGGGTCACCAGCTCGTATATACGAAGCAATGGAGTCAGAGACACGGAGGCCATCCAGCTGAGCCTTGGCAACCTTGCTCCAAACTTCGGGAAGTTCAACACGCTCCGCATATTCTTGTGCACGGTCGATGCTAACAATGGAATCGACAAGTACATTGGTGGCAGCCAGATGGTTGTCAACCTTCTTGTATATTTCGAAAGCCTCCTCGTAGAGACCCACAGAAATACACATCGTTGCAATTTCATCCGCGTTGAACTCGGAAAGTTTATGGATGTAATCCATCAGGCGACCTTTATCAGCCTTGGCAGCGGTAAGCATCATCAGGTTTTGCAAGCTGCTATTATCACTGAAAGGCGACGGTTCCAAGATAATCTTCTCCAAAAGTTCGATGAGTTCGCCAGGTAAGTCTGCATCAAGGAAGGCCTTGACGGCGACAGACACTTTATCTGGTTCCGCAGACTCAGGCACCGCAGTGGCAATAACTTGATCTACTAACGCTCGGCGGTGGACGTTATTGGCATTGAGAACAAAAGCCCATATTTCGGGATCAGCACGTTCCAGAAGGTATCGAGCTTGAGCGCGGTACATAGAGTTCTCGTTAGTGATATTGATGAGCTCAAGATCATTCTGCCCCTTGCGATAAGCAATATAAGCAAGATTGGGGTCGCGCTTCTCGCAGTACTTTCCAACAGTAAGGGTATCGTAGAGATCGTTCTCCTTCAAGAATTTTTCTGGGTTGTTATTGCTATCGATATAAATCTTAGCAAGGGCGTTGTAAACTGCTTGTTGCTGGTTCCCGGTGGCAAGCGTATTCTCCAGGAATGGGAGAAGGATTTTAAGGCGATTCCGGGACTCGACCTCAGAGACAAGGTCATCGATAGGGATTGACGCTGCGTCAACAGTAGACAGAAGGTTCTTGATGATGCTCTCTTCGCAATCAACATCCAACAGTCCGCCAACCACAGCTGGAGTTCTAGACGGGTTCACTCGTTGAACGTAGACCTCGATGGACCGATACTGCTGGCTCTGGTAAAGATATAGAACAAGATCATGAATGAAATTGAACCGGTCACAGACAATGATCAAAGGCAGTTGCTCCGTTAAGCGAGCCTCCTTCAAGAAATTCTTAACTTTCTCTGGGTTGTAATAATTGCTTTCCCGACATATGCGCTCTACCTCGGTCAGCTGGTTCATCGTCGTCGCTGCTTCGATATATTTGAAATGAACATCTGGATCTTCGCTTAGGTTCACAATGCTGCCAAGGTAATAGTAAAGGCCTTCTGCAGTTCGGTACTTCTCCAAGAGATTGATCAAGTTAGTCGGCCCCAGGAGATCCGAAAACTTAGTGGCAATCTGAACAACAGCCGACAAATTTTGGCGGAGGTTGGCTTTGAGCATCTCGTTCATGCACTCCAAACACTGCTCGACTGACAAGCGCCCGAAATAATTTATTAACCATTCAGGGTTCAACTTGTCGGTGCGGACAATATTTCGCATGATAACAGCAGGATCGTCAGTGTTCTCCAAAGCACGTTGATAGAGCTGCGCATTTTCACAGAGTTGCGATACTCTGGCTTTATCGTAGTATGTAAACATCTCGTTGCCAAGGATTGCATCTGCGACCTGCGGGGCGTTGACAAGGTTCATCTCAAGCAATCTCGTCTGGAGGTTTGCATGTTCGGGTTTGTTATCTTTGAGTGCATCGAGCAAGAAAGCAGTCGCTTGTTGAACCATATTCTGAGAAATGAACACATCAACAACACGGTCAAGATCCACAAGAGCGCCATTTTCATCGCTGGCAAGCTGCGCAGCGAATTCCGCACACTTCTCAGGGTTGACGCGCACAATATGCTGGAGGAGTTGAATGTAGTCTGGCTGGTATCCGACTTGCTTCGAGAAGGCCAAAATTTTGTCAAACTGGCCAGTTTCGGCAAACCCGGCCACCACCTTGTGTGGGACATTGGCTTTCAAGTAGATGTTGAGAGCAAGATTCATATCATGTGGGCGGACCATATCACCCAGCTCCTCAGAACACCCAAGCTTGTCTTCAGACATCCATTTCTCCAATAGATGTTTTCGGCCTTGCTGCAGCACAGGTCTCACAAGCTCCACACTCTCATATTGGTTCATGCCGCCTTGATCGAGAAGCATTCCGAAGTATTGCAAGATAACCGACATACCTGTCGCGGGCTGCGGAGCATTCTTGAGGAGGTTGATGGTCGCAGGCGTACGAAGGAATCCGCGAGGAGAGTTGGCAGCGATCTTGGCAGCTTGGACATAATCTCCTCGCGCGACCATAGAGTCGAACTCTCTCTTAAGGAAGTCATCCGCTCCTGGAAGTCCTCCCTTCGACGCGAGCCTGACTGCAAGTCCTTCGTTGTTTAGCTTTTGCAGAATGTACGGGATTACCTTGTCCTCGTCGACGCTGACGGCAAGCACCTGGCCATCGCGGTTGACACCAAGAAGACCCGCCGATTCCGAATCTGGGGCCGTGGCGAATATAGATCTAGAAGAAATTCTGTTCAAAAACAGACAGCTACCACTTTCTAAGTCGTAGAGATGAATGAAGCCGAACATCGTCACGATGTAAGCGATATCGTACTTTTTAGAAAGTTGAATGGAAGAAGGAAAATCTGTTATGGCCTCCGGCGGGAAAAAAAGCTGTTCAGCCTTCTTGGGAAATTTCTTGGTAGGGTTCTCGTTGTCAATTTCCACAATGTGTATTTTAGCAGCGGTTGCAGTTCGAACGGCAAACGTAAAAATCTTTGTCTCGGCGGGGTTTCCAGCGACGCGGATTTTGCCAAAGGCAGCTGCGTGTCCCTCAATTATCTGCGATTCGGAACGTGCTCGGGAATGGAGTATGATCTTCCCCAGAGCGGGCTTGGTGTTGTCTTGGGCTTGAACGGCAATAGTTGCCGTCCATTGCTCATCATCTGTAGTTTGGTAGTTGAATATTTTCCAGTTCTAGGAGCAGGAGGGTTGGTCAGAAACAGTCAAATCCGCGAGAGGGGACAGGCGGTTAAATAAACAATATAAAAGTAAACACACCTCCTCATCTATTCTGTCCTTATACTTAGAAACCTCGACAGGCTGAGTTTTTTCACCGAAAACGTCCCAGTGGTAGGCATGAGTAGCCGTCACTAGGGCAAGAGACCGTTCGTTAATCCATTTCCAGTACAATATCTTAACCCTGAATCTAACATCCTTGAGTATCTGTTCGGTCTGGAGATTTATAATTCGGAGGTTTCCATCTTCCGACCTAACGGCGAGAATGTGTTTATTCCAGTGCATAATAGCACTCTCGCCGGGGATGGAACGACGGAAGACTTCATCTGGACTTTTCGGATTGACAACAACGATCTGCTGTTGTCCACCGACATTCTGTCGTACGCAGACAAAGCGGTCGGATTCGACGGTCTGTTTGTGTGATCGTGAGACGGTTAGTCTCAAATGGAACAAAACAGGGCACGCGCTGATGCCTTAACAAAGGGGCGGGAAAAGAAAAGGGCAGCTTACACATGTACTAGGGAAAATAGCGTTCTCCTAGATCGCGGAATGCGGGTATTAGCCCGCTATTCATTTATCTTTGAAATTTACTACCAGCGTTGATGGGGATGCGCAGTTTCCGCATTGAGCCGCCATGGGATTTCGCGTTGGAAGATAAGGTCCCTCTCCATATGGGGTGGGTGGGTGGGTCAAAACGTACCGAAATGCCAATGGATTTCAACTAAAGACAGCAGGACAGAAACCAAATGTCAGTTTCGAATCTTCATGGGAGCATGCTGGAGTTAGAAGCCGGGGCAACGGGAAATACCTGTAAAAGCTCAGTGAGCTTGATTGGAATATCTGCTGGATTGGCCATGGTTGCGAGCGCCGGAGGATGACGACCTCATGCACCCAACAAAAAACGCCTTGCGCAAAAGAGCAGAGTCGCAGGTAAAGGAAATAGCAAAGACGCGACCAAAACCAAGAAGAAGGAAAAGCAGGAAATAGGAGAAGAGAGAAAAAGGAAGAAAATGTGGTATTGGGGTGGAATGGGAATGGGGATACGATTAGCTTGTTGTTGTCTGATGGGAGAAACCAGCCTCAGCAGGAGATTGAAGCCAGCCAGGAGGAGATGTTGTCGTGGCCTGGGCTTTCGGTCACGTGGTATGGCGGTGCCTGTTTCAAGGTTGCGTTAGTTAGGGGATATTTATTATTTATTTACTACATATTAACTATACATGAAAGAAATTATACATCTGCGTCTTCATATTTCTCATAGGTTATTATTATCCTTTTTGTCACTTCAGAACAGGAACGGTTGCAATAATATCGTGACTTCATCTCCCCTTCCATCTTCCCTTGTCCCCAACTCTCCAATTGCTTCCCTTTCCTTCTCCCCCTTCCATCATGAAGGAAAAGTGAAGACGATCCAGTCTCCGGGCCCTGGCGCATTGAGAGAGAAAGAAATGACTTCCGCGAGTAGCGTCATTACCATATCATATCATAAACCCCGTAGCAGCACAAAGGTGACGAATATAGGAGCTGACTGACACTCTTCTCTCTTTTCCAATCAGCGCGAAAACCATGTAAGCAAAAAGGCATAAAAAGTGCCGAGTTACGGAGTACTCAGTTACTGGTTTTGTGTAGTCTAGAGCCTCCCACCAAATCTCCCGAATGCATTTAGTTAATGAAATATATATATCATGTGCTGTACATACCCTATGCCCGTGCTCGAATATATATATATATATGTTTTGCATTACTTCGGAATACCTAGGCATTCAGGCGCCTCCGCTTCACATCAGGGTGAATCAGAACCCATCACAATTCAAAAATAACAATCAACATAAACATCGCCGTCGACTTTTATAGTTATCTATTTTTCCATTTTTAGACCTCCAGTGGTTAATCAGGAAACATAATCGAAGAAATAAAGAAACATGTATAAGAAAATAAAATAAAAAAATCAGTGATGGAACAACCGAATCCCCTGCTCCACGAACACAATCCCCAGTTTCTCCGCCGTCTCAAAGACAGGACCATCATTCTGGCTTCCGCTCGGTGCAGCGATGTATTTAACACCAGACCGTGCGGCGCGGAACACGTTGTCAACGAAGGGGAACTGTTTAAAGGAAAAGAAAAAAGAGCAGACATATTAGCAACCACGTACGAGAACCGAAAAAAAAAAAAAAAAAAAAAGGGGGGGGGGGGCTCACAAAAGCATCCGACGAGACCGCCACCTCTCCCAACTGCTCCAACCACCCATCCCGCTCCTCAACCGTAAACGGCACAGGCACACACCCGTCCTCAAACACCTTCTCAAAATCCGCCTTCTCAACGGCATTGCCCGGCACCTGTCCGGAACACAACATATCAATCGCATTACTCTTCTCCGCCCGCTTCGTCCCCGGTTTCCACCGTATACTCAGCGCCCGCTCATGGAACCGCATCCACCAGTTATCTGCCTTATCGCCCGCCAGGCGCGTGCAGTGGATGCGGCTCTGCTGGCCCGCGCCGAGGCCGATGACTTGCCCGTTCAGCGCGTAGCAGACGGAGTTCGACTGAGTGTATTTGAGCGCGATGGTGGCGACGGTGAGGTCGCGCAGGGCGGAGTCGGGGAGTTTCTTCAGGTCCTTGGGTGTGACGATGGAGGTGAAGGAGCTGTTGGGGTGGATGGTGGCGTCGTTGCGGTGTTGGGAGAGCTGGACGCCGTAGACGGAGCGGGTTTCGTCGGCGGGCGGGTTATAGGCCTCGTCCATTTGGAGGACGAGATATTTGCCGCCCTTTTTCTTGGTGAGGAGGGCTAGGGCCTCGGGGGTGTAGCCTGGCGCGATGACGCCGTCGGAGACTTCACGGGAGATGATCTTGGCGGTAGGGACGTCGACGATGTCGGAGAGGGCGATGACGTCGCCGAAACTGGACATGCGGTCTGCGCCTCTGGCGCGGGCGTATGCCTGTGCCAATCCCGACTCGTCGATGCCGGCGATATCGTCGACCATGTAGACCTTCTTCTCCTTCTCGTTCAGTGGGACGCCAATGGCGGCACCGGCGGGAGAAACGTGCTTGAAGCTGGCGGCAGCTGGGTAGCCTAGGGCCTGCTTCAATTCTTTAACGAGTGGCCATGCGTTCAAAGCGTCGAGAAGGTTGATATATCCTGGAGACCCGCCAAGGACCCTGAATGGGAGCTGGCCCTGCCTGGTGAAGGCGCAAGCGGGTTTCTGGTGTGGATTCGCGCCATAACGAAGCGGCATGTACTGTGTACCAGCAGCGTACTGCTTCCTGAAGAAGCCTGAGATCGCCTCGTCATAGTCTGCAGTGTGCTCAAACGCCTTGAGAGCATAAAGCTTCCGGTTCTTCTCTGAAACATCCCCCGCCTCCAACTGGCTTAGGAATTCCGGGTAATCGCTCGGATCGCTGAGAATGGTGACCCGGGCATGGTTCTTAGCCGCAGCGCGCAGTAGTGTGACACCTCCAATATCAATTTCCTCGACAGCCTCCTCCATGGTAACATTGACCTTGGCCACAGTCTCCTTGAATGGGTATAGGTTGCAGACGACATAGTCGACCTTCGCGATCTTCTGGTCTGCCAGATCCTGTTCGTCGGACTCGATATTCCGGGCGAGGATTCCGCCGTGGACTGCAGGATGAAGGGTCTTCACACGACCACCCAGCATTTCGGGGGCGTGCGTGATGGCGGATACATCCCTGGCTCCATCAGTAATTTTGATTTGTGATTAAAAAAAAAAAAAAAAAAAAAAAAAAAAAACTCCAATTGATATTATAAAAAAAATATGCCCGCCCTTAACAGAGGCGACCAACTCACTCAACCGGAAATCCAGCCTCCCGAATCATCTTCGCCGTACCGCCAGACGCGAGCAAGCGAACATTGTATTGGATGAGGCCCTTGGCCAGATCTAGCAAGCCAGTTTTGTCGTAGACCGACAGGATCGCTGCAGCAATTCAAAGCATGCATGAACAAGGTCAGCAATGAAAAAAGAAAGCAGTAGAAGTATTTAGTAACTAAGGATAAATAGAAAAAAAGGTAAGGGAGATAGATGCATGTGTACCCGACTTCTGCGCCATCTTATTCCGAAAATACCTGAGAGCAGGCCTGTCGAGCTTGGTAGGGTCGAGGGATTTCTTTAGCACCTGCGCGGGTGGGAAGTCATCAGCCATAACTAAGTTCTCGTATACTGCGTAATGTGCGCTCTTCCCTGCGCAACACAGGGTTCATAGGAATAGTAGCGACAAGAGCGGTGAATTTCAAAGAGCAGAAAAGCTGAAATTAAAAGGAACCGTAAAAAAGGAACGGAAACGCAAAGAAGAAGAGCCTTGACAGAACCCGCAGCCTGTCACGATAGGGGTGTTTTTGGGAGGAGGGAGGGAGGGAGAGGGGGGGGTTGTATCGTCTCTCATCTCTCTCCTTCTCTCTCTCCTCTCCCCTCTTCTCCCCCCACCTAGACACGCTATCAGATCACACCAGACCGCCAGCCAGAGGGTACAATGGCTGAATAGTATGGTAGTAGTGCAGTTGCGAGAAGAGGGGCACTGATGACAAGGACTATGATAGGTATAGGAGGAGCTGGGCATGCAAATGCTCACCAGGAGGTTTAGAATATCCAATTGCTATAGCTGTCTCGCTGACAGTTGGCTAAAATATAGTAAGAAAAAGGAAATAGAGGGAACGGGAGTAAATAAAGTAAAACGAAAAAAACAAAAAAAATACTCCAAGTTACTTCATAAATCCGCTTCCCCTCCTGAATAATACGCACCTTTTCTCGTCTTTTTTTCTTTTTCTGGCTCGAAGATCAAACCCCCACCAACCAGCGCGATCTTATGTAATCCCCGTCCTGCGATGCCGCGCCAAACAAGACAAACACCACGTCGCATCACATGACCCCCTCCTAGCCCTCAAAACCATCTCGAAATTTTCCTCCGCCGCCTTTTTTTTTTTCTTTCTTCTTCTTTTCCACGAACAACGCAAAAAAAAAATAAACAACATTCTACAAAAAAGCGTTCCTACAAAGGCTTTTTTCTTCATAAAAATTGCCCATGAGGTATGGAAATCGTCTATTAGAATGGAGAGTAAATAATGGCCCCGGATTTAATCCGGCCTTTTATGTCGTCGGTCTTGGGTGCAGTGTCACTCTCCCCCTTCATCTTCTTTTAGACGAGGGCTGTGGGTGGGATTGCAATGATTGGCGGGACATTTAAAAAATAACTCCTCTATTATTTGCTGATGGATTGTGGGGAGAGGGGGGGGTGGTTAATCTACTCGTCTACATATTTGCTCGTTGGCTGGATGGGGCCTCTGCATATATATATATGTACAGAGATGGAGTGGATGGAAGCAAGAGGTTTAAGAATTGGGCTTCGCCATTGGAAATACAATAGCTTATGTCGCTATGGGACACGTTTCGAATCGATGGAGGATGGGGAAGATGTTGATCAAGGAGGGTTAGCATAATAATAATACATATCTCAATCATTCAAGCAGACAGTAAAGAATACATGCCCAGAGAATCGAACCCTAAACACATGCATCTACATCTTTCTTAGATACAACCTCCCCGAGAGAAAAATGAAAAAGCTCCCCACTCCACTGCCATTAACATAGTTGAGATGTAAATAAGCGTCCTTTTCTCCCGGCCATCTTCCCCATAGCTCATCAAATGCGCATCATAGCCTCCCCTTTTATTCCCGAATGCAGCAGAAACCCGTATATATATAGTATACACAAACCTCATTGCATCGCATAACCCGATAATTAAGAGAATTTAGAAAAAAAAAAGAGCCAGAGAATTAAAGAGGCAAAAGAAGTAAGAGAAACAAAAAGCAATTCAGCCCCCTTATCCCCTTCCTTACACCATTAAAAACACAGCAATATCTATCTGCACCTCCCAAAATTCACCTTCCCCCACCCACTGCCAACCGCCTCCCAATATTCCCAAAACAAACGCAGCTACAAAACAACACGCTGGCAATCCACGTCCCCACCGCAATACTCTCCTGCGACGCAAGGAGCATTCCGCCTGAACCAGCAATAGCGTTAGCTTCTCCAACATTCGCAGTTGGCGCCGGCACGACGTCCGGGTTCACGCCCAGCCACGTGACCATGCCCAGCAGACCGACGGCGGTGGAGAGCATGAAGCCTGGCTTTGAGCGGTCGATGAGGTACCAGAGGAACGGGTTGACGAGCGCGAGGGTTAGGGAGACTTGGAGGGTGGATTGCCAGGGAAGTTTGCGCTAGATTGGGGGTTAGCTTAGATGTATGATCTGGTAGTGGTGGTGGTTGTGTTGGCGACGGTGATGGTTATAGTGATAGAGGGTGTAAATAAATGTCTGATGTGTAGATTACTTACAATCGCAAATGCAATGCCCACAAACGCACCGATGCTCCTGACAACCTGATTCCAATCGGCTGCTATGGACTGGGAACTCTTCAATTGTTGCCCCCCGTTCACTTTCACATTTACCTTCCCATCCCCACTTCCACTTCCACTCCCGGTCAAATCCCTATTGCTAACCTCTACATTCCCGCCACCCCCATCCATCTTCTCTCCTACCCCTGCACCGTCCTCCTCCCCCTCGCCATCTCCTCCGACAAACTCCTCCCAAACAACATCAAACCACGGCAACAGTCCTCCCAGCGCCACGCCCGCCCCACCCCAGAACACCATATACACCCACGACCCGCGCCTGATGAGATCGATGTTCTCGATCTTGATGGGCGTCACGCGCGGGTTGTCATGTAGGTGGGTGATGATGATGCCGTAAGCGACGCCAAAGATGAAGAGTAGAGCGCTGCGGAGGAGGAGAGGGAGATAGAAGGTGCGCAGGGTGCGGCGGCGGTGGAGGAGACGTGGTGTGCGTATGTGTCTGGGGTGTATGGAAGAAGGGGGGTTTGAGATTAGCGTGGAACCGTTTGTTGGTTTTCTGGTGGCGGCGGTCGCGGCGGTAGTAGTAGTAGTAGTAGTAGTGGAAGTGGTAGAAAGGGGGAAGCGCGCGTTGTTCGAGATTGAGGTGGGTGTTTGGGCACCGCTGGCGACGGCGTCCCAGGAGGAGAGCTCATCGCGGGGACTATCGAGGGTAGTGGGTGAGTAGATTCCGAGGAGGGTGGAGGAGGTGAGGTTGAGGATCGAGCGGGTGCGGTGGGCGGCGAGGGAGTCTTTGGAGGAGGGATCGAGAGCGTTTTGGTTGGGAGCTGATTCTTCTAAGATCGGGGTAGATGGTTCAGAGGGTTCGGTGGAGGGGGAGGAGGCGGCGAGCTCAAAGGGTTTCCGGGCACGCGGGCGGAGGATTGGGGGTTCGTGGTGGTCCATGTCGGGAGATTTGCTGTTCGCCTTTAGATGTTGGTTTTTGTTGGTTTTGTTGGTGTTGAATGGTTGGAGCAGAGGGTAGGGATTTAGGGGTTTAGGAGTTATATTCCGGACATTTAGTTGGTTGGTTGTATTATTGTATGGCTCTGGCAGACATGGAAGAGGTTTCTCGCACAGGGGAACGAAGTCGCACAGGACAGATAAAATAACTTTTTTTTGGCTAGCGGGGATTGTACGACGGAGAACTAGTTCGATAAGTTAGTTATTTAGCTGTCTGGACGTAGCACTTTGGGAGAAATGATTCCGAGTAAAGCAGACAAAGCAAAAGAAGAGCCAGCAAAAGGGCTCAGTGATACGCGCAGGTAGTCAGTCCTGCAGCAGATATATTGTATATCTTATACAGAACATAAGAATGAGTATTTGTTGTTGTTGATGTTGATGATGTTGATGTTGATGGTGAAAGGAGTGTCACATGCTAATAATGAGGAGCTTAGTCAGCAGCTTCACCCCCCGGACAGGTTTGAGAGTTGTATACAAAGTACAGACATCATCACAGGCTCACAGCCAACTATACAGACTGTAGTTGAGATGAGTCTTTGTTTTCCTGGCTTCTGTGTTCTTTCTTTTTCTAGATTGAAATATAGATGAATCAACGCTTTAAGCGTTTCAGGAGGGTGAGGAAGGATGTGTGTATTGCCACACATCCAGGATTTGAACAAGTCAGTCATTGATAGAGAATCTTTTTTTTCTCATGGAACAATTGAGATTGAACTCAGGTTTTGAAATCAGTTCACAGCTCTCACTCTCATGCTTGTTGATGAGGTACTCTTTGAATATAACAACTTTCCCGTGCTGGGATCCTCCTCAGACAGTTCCCTACAGAACCGCGTCCGATACATACATATATATATATAGATATATTTTTGATGTCAATACACCGGGCTGCGTTCATTCACTCTGCAGATGAAGACACTGTAGAGACAGCGATGTTAGATAGTGTGGAAATTGATCTCATGAGAACCTTTTTCATGATTGAGTTGGTGTTGAAATGAAATTGTCTATCATCAGAATGAAATTGATTTATTATCTGATAATAAATAAAAGAGTAATTTGTTCAATAGAAGTGAGTGGGTTTTCCAGTCTGATAAACCATTCTCTGCCTAATAAGAAGGGTTCTTTCTCTCTATCTTTTTCTACCCAGCATCATCAATGGTAACTTATCCGCGGCTTGCTGCTGTGGGATGCAGACTGAAATGTTGTTGCTGCCAAGTTGTTGCTGAGGAGCTTGTCGCAGTGAATGTATGTATGTATTGCTTTGCTTTCACTTGCCTTCTTCCATGGATTGCCGAAAAGCTCGATGTTATCTCCTCGCAGTCAACTCGATTTCTACACTGTCAGAACTCACAGCTCCATTGACTCTAACGGGAAGTTTGCTCTCTCCGCTGTCTTTCTTTCTTTTAGTTTCTTTGTGGGAAAAGCATAGATACCATACAGAGAGTAAAGGTCCCATTCATTAGGAAGTATATATAGAAAAACGGGCAGAATAAGAAGAGAAAAAGAAGAAGACGCAAGAAAAGAGAAAAATAGCGCAAACCACATCCATTCATCCGTCAGCCATAACTTGATCGCCATCACTCTCCCCCTCCATCTCCAAACTCTCACCATCATCGTCATCATCACCATCATCGTCATCACCATGATTTTCGCCAGATTCTTCCCCCTCCTCCTCCCCTTCTTCATCGTCCTCCTCCTCAATCTCATCCGTATCATCCCCCGGACCCTGTCTGTGCTCACTAAGCATCGTCTCATCCCCGTCCCCATCACCCAAGTAACTTGATCCCTCAACATCACTATCCCGATAAGAATCCACCATCACAGCGCTAGAATAGCGCGGTTTCGGCACTGCTACGTCTCCCGGCAACGACTCTTCAACCCCAGGCTGTTCCGCCCTTGGTGCGTCCAGAGGTGGGAGCGGTCGTGATGCCTTTTGCAGCTGGTGCTGCTGCTCCTTGTGAGACCGAACCGCCGAGGGAGATGAGGAGGGCGCTACTGCGTCGGATTCTGCCTCCACTTCGACTTCCATTCCCATTTCTGCGTCTGCAGACTCGCTTTCACCGTCGCGTTCTGCTTCTGTTTCTGCCTCTGCCTCTGCCTGTAGGGTTGTAGTTTCCGGCGCTGGCATGGCATCATCATCGTCGTCGTCGCGACGCTTGCGCTTCCGCGGACGAGGACGTGCTTTGCCATCTCCATCCCCATTGGATTCTCCTAACAACTCATTATCAATATCATCGAGAGCCGCATCCCTATCCCGATCTCCACCGGCATGACTTAAGTCGTCTGAAGAGGGCGTTGCGCCCGCGTTGGCGACATCCGGTACAGATAGATGATCAGAGGCAGTAGTAGCGTCACCGCCCTTCTCTCCCTTCATTGTCGTAGTTGTTTCCGTGTTTGTATCAGCTGTATTAGCCACAGGTTGTGTAGCAGAGGTAGCACCAGTCGCGCGTGAGCGCCCAGTTGATGCCCGCTGCTTCCGCCCACCACCCGTAGACTGGCGACTACGGGTTGACGTCCCCGGTCTCGCGCGGGGTTTCTTCTCTGGCACCCCTTCTTCCTCAGTCGGCTCTGCCACGGCCTTCGGTTTCCGTCTTGAGCGGCTTTTGGGTTTCGAAGGACGAGTGGGGGTGAGGATGTTGTCATTATCAGCTTCGGCAGCCGGGTTACGAATCTCATTTATGAACGACACATCCCCATCACCAATGGCAGCCCGATGCCTCTCAGCCTCAGCCTCGGCCTCAGCTTCAGCCAGTTTCTCCCTCTCCCTCTCCCTCTCCCTCTCTCTCTCCCTCTCCCTCTCCGCTTTCCTCCTCGCATCCTCAACCATACAATCCCAATCCCACCGTTGTAGCCTCCTCGCCGCTCTCTTCAGCACAGAAAGGTAAAACCCCGCCGCCTCGCCATAATCCTCCTCTCCGTCGGGGTGCGGGCACACCCCGCCTTTCCCCCACGAATCCTCATCATCCGTATCATAATCCTCTGGCAGGTTCTGTAATAACCGCCCCGCCCGCACGAAGGGGACCTCGCCCTGACGGCGTGCTCGGATTTCCTTTAGTGCTTCCGTCCGGCGTTGAGCAAGGAGGTAATCGACACGTTGTTTGCGGTTTTGCTCAACAGCAAGCTGATGTTGGGTTAACGGACGGGGGCGGCGGGCGCTGCCGCTACCCGCGGGCTGGTGTTGATGTGATCCTACGGCGCGGGAACTAGAGCTTGCACGAGCGCTGGGACCGGCACCGAACTGGTTGAGGACCGGATGTGCTGAACCGGGAGGGGCAGGGGAGATGGCGTCTGGCGTCTGGTCCATTCGCGTCTTGAGGACGAGACGGCGCGGCTGCGTAGTTCTGAAAGAAGAGCGGTTTGTCGAAGATTCGCGCTTGGCGCGCCGTCCTGCGCGGTATCGGGTTGGCAACTCTATTTCGTCGTCCACATTGTATTCAGCGCCTGTGGTGCGGCCAGTCATACTTTGTCTGTCTCCTGTTCCAAGCTCAGAGTTTAAGTCATCGCTCGTGTAGTCAAGAGCTGGGCCTAGGGTATATCGGATTAGCGGGATATTGGGAGAACGAGAAGGTAGACATTTTTTAATTCAGACAAAACCTACCTTTCTTTGGCCTCTTGCCCGACCTGAAAGTAGTATCATCTTCTTCCAGGATCCCTACAAAATCGGTAAAATTAGTCTTGGGGCCTTGCTGATGATAACGGCTCGTTTAAGACCGGAAAGGAAAAAGAAAACCCTACGCTTTCTCTCCCGTTGCTTCTCCTCCCCATACCGAATCTCTTCCGCCGTATCCACATTTTCTGCATCAGCCTCGGCCTCTGTTAGCGGCTCAAAGGCCGGTACCTTCAATGGCAGCCCATCAGTGCCTTCGCCAACCAGTCCCGGTCCAAACGGATTATTCAAAGCATCATGTGTCGAAAAGTCACTTTCGAGATAATACCACATGAGCCAAAGAAAAGCCCTTGCGCGACTTCTACTGCTCAGACTGGAGCGCATGACTAAGTCGAAGAAGTCGCGGGGAGCGAAGAAGTGTAGTTCGGATATTCGTGGAGCATATTGTGAGAGGACGAAGATGAGGTTTACAGGGTTTGTACGGGGGATGGACGCCTGCTTGATTTTTTCGATGGTGTTTGGTTGATCGGTGTCCTCCGAGGCACCCTTTAGGATTGATTTAAGCCTGGGCGCGTCTTGAAGCTGTTTGTAGGCGTTTGGGTCCTGGTGGGCTTGTAGGGAGGGGATAGAGTGGTATGTTCGTAGCTGAGCGCGCATTTCCGGAAAGACTGTACGGTAGTAAATCGAACAGTTAGTAAATAAATTTTGTAACAGAGAAGAGCGTCGTCATAATCACGGTTTCTTCTGGGAGGAATCCTCACAGTTAAGGGTAGTATTCATCCTCCCGAAGTTCACCAACAGACAAACCATAGCCATGCTAATCGCTGCGGCCTTATCATTCTGTAACTTGTCTTTCAGAATCTTGCTGGTCTTGCTACTCCTCGCCATGGCATCGATGTATATATCTGCAAAATCCAGCCCTTTTGCACCGTCTGACAGCCGCGTAAACACAGGGGTCTTATCCTCGAAAACAAGTTTCAAAAACGCATACTGTATATCCTTCCGCCACAGCGGGATTCCATCATCCTTCTTTAGATGTCGGATCTTGTTGCCCGAGTATACAGACCCGATGGTGCCATTCGCCTGTCGCCGTATTCCTACAGTTGCGCTGACAGTGGTTGAGTGGAAATTGCTGCTGGCGGTGTTACTCCGTTTCGTATTACCAGTAGCATCATGATCATCCGAGGAGCGGTGGGCTTGCGACTGCGACTGCGACTGTGAATGGGACTGCGAAGCATTTTGATGAGAGCGTCCATTGCTGTCCTTGTTGGACTTCTTCTTCTCCTCCTTGGTCTCGTCCTTGACTTCCTCTTCTCTCTCTACCTCTTCCCCTTCCTTTCCATCGCCGCCACTTTGACCCTCATGTTCACCATCGTCTTTGTCACCATCCCGCGGCTGCGGGGACTTAGGCGGCCAGTCCTGCCAAGTGCCGGACTCAGTCCAAAAGCCCTGGATGGAATGGTTGGGGTCATCGAGGTAACTGCGTTGGCGGCCACCCTTTGAACCCGGCTCTGGTTCGAGGAGTCGATTTACACTGGCTCGAGGGAGCGGGTAGCGGTCTGCGGGTAAGGGGAAGTCCTTGCGGGAACCCGCGTAGTAACCGCCATTGGGGTGTTCAAGGTGGTCGTCCTTCTCGGGCTCGAAGGCACCGCTGGGTTTGTGGGAATCTGCGGGGGGCTGCGTGGCCATGGTTGTGTCCGGGTCATTGAGGGTAGATTGATGGTGGTGGCGCTCGTCTTCCTCAGCTGTCGTGGAGGTTTTTGGGGCTTCGGGTCGGGGGGAAGCGTCGCGAGACATGGAGATTATGCTGCTCGCCATTGCTATTGGGAA